ATGTGCTCTGTCTCCACAGGCAGGGCTGGAGCAGCTTCCCATTCCAGACCTTGCTGGTACCATGGCTAATCCAGGACTTGAGAGATCAAGGAGACCAAGGGCTACAAGTACAAACATGAAAAGTCACTCTTACTGGTGTACTGAGAGTCCATCCCAACGGCTTGGCCTTAGAGGGGAGCTTGGGACGAGGGGTATGCAACCATGCTATCTGCCATACCTATCTCTAGGAATCCTCTGGGGGACTTTATCCCCCTAAGCACACAGATTCTGGGAAGACCCAATACAGGCATAGTGTAGGTCTGTGTGAGACAAATAGGGAGCCGGGATGCATACAAATCTGAGCTCCTGATGTACTTAGAGCCCTGCCCAAGCCCCTCTCAGGCAAGAACCACCTAGCTTGGGCACACAGCCCAGGCTTGCTGCATAGCTGCATTATTCTATTCTAACAATTTGCTCAGCAGTCCTCCAGCCAAGTCCCAGGATGGTGGTCCCTGTCTGTAACAAGTCATTGTACTAACCTGAAGATAACAGGTAGCTAAGAGCCAGAACGTAGGGCAGGAGGGGGTCCTGAGAACAAGATGACCACACCTCCAGAGTTAGACACCCAAGCCATGTCTTTAAGAAGAAGCAAGAAGCCAGGCGTTGGTGGCACATGCCTTTAATCTCAGCACTCGGGAGGCAGAGGCAGGGGGATCTCTATGAGTTAAAAGACCAGTCTGGTCTACAAGAGCTAGTTCCAGGACAGCCTCCAAAGCCACAGAGAAACCCTGTCTCGAAAAACCAAAAAAGAAGAAGAAGCAAGAGTGGGGATAGAGAGATAGCTCAGTGGTTAGGAGTGCTTGATGCTCTTCCAGAGGATCGAGTTTGGTTCCCAGCACCCACGTCAGGTGGCTCACAACAACCTGTATTTCCAGCTCCAGCTCTAGGAAATCCAATGCTTCTGGCTTCCATAGGCAACCCTACACTTGTGGCATACACAAACAAAAATGAAAAAAATCTGTGGAGAAATTTCTCATGCAGAGTAAGACAATACAAAGATTGGATATGTGAGGGGGGCAGGCTGCCCACACCTCACAATCCAAGTCCTGAAGCTTTTCCTGGACATCCTGGGTTTTGCAACCCCAAAACATTCCTCCTGAGCCAGCAGGGACAAAGTAATCAAAACTCAAAGCTCTGCAAAGGGAATGAAAAGCATGCTCAGCTCAAACCCTTGCCAATCCCAAATGAGGTACATCATCGGGGACATACTGTTGAGCCCAAATGAGCAGTTGAGTATCCATTCTGCAAGTGACACTGAGGTCCTAGGTATATGTATCTAAGACTCTGCAAGCTGATGGGCTGAATTTAGTGACAAATGAGTAGAACACCATAGACACAGTAGGAAGTCCTGTAGCTAGTACAGACTGCTTCAATCTCTCTGCAAAAACAGTGCCACCCCTTACCCTTGCTCCACAGGAAAATAGCAGATACAGAGATGGCCCAGCTGCCCTCAGGGAGGCCAGGGCTCCTCTGTGGATAGACAGGAGGAGACATTACAAGGCCCTTCTATACCTTCAGGGCCTGGCATCAGTTAAGTCCTGCCATGTTACACACCCAATATATAAAGGCTCATTTAAAGCTCAAATGAGTGAGAAAGGAGAATGGAACCAAGTTCAGAAAGCCAGCAGCTTCCTTCCGCTTCCTCAGTAGATCCATTCACAGGAGTTCAGTGGATAGATGAATATTCATGTGTACAGCCGGCAGTCACAGTCATACAGGGGTCACCAAGAAGCCAGAGCACACCTGCTACCGCCAGGCGGAAGTTAGGCTCAGTCCCAGCCCCAGCCCCAGCCTTGGCTCCAGTGGGTGGGTAGACAGTAAGGAGGAAAAGCCAGCCAAGGCCTTCTGAATTGCCAGGCTGTGAGGCCTCTTCAGACCAGGTGGCAGCTTTGTGTGTCTAGAACAGAGGAGGAAGGCCCACACTGACCTGGCAGGCTCCAACTTCCCTCCTCTGGGTTCTTAGCATTTCCTCCCAAGGCCACTTGGCTCAGCAGTCCCCAGTGCTGCTTGGAAAGAACTGGTAATAACAGGACCCACTACAAATGGTGGCTTTCAGAAAAGCATTCCTTTCATGCAGAGAGCAGCTCTGTGCTGTGGGAAGAGGCTTTAATAATTATGAGTGCCCTGGGACTGACAAGTGGCTCTTACACTTGCATTTTAGCAGAGACTAAGTCGTACCACATGCCTGCTCTGGAGTCAGCTCAAAGGTACAAGAAGCAAAACATCTGGCTGGCTCAGGTAGCTGGGATAAAGCTCTAAGAACATAGTGACTTCATATCATTTTCCAAAATCACCTTCACAGGACACAGAGTTACTGAAGAACTAGTGACCCAGCCACACAGTGCCAATGAGTACCACATGAGGTGAGTTCCAATGTACCTGGGCACATACATGGCACAAGCTAGAAAATTTGTGTGGGCCTGGGTGTAACTCTATACACAATGTGACCTCAATTAGGTCAAACAATGTTAGGGGAAAGGAAAGAGACACATAACTAAGATTTTACCAACAGCTGTCTCCATGCTGGAAGGATGCACAGCTTCCCAGCAATCCAGGGTGTACTATCACAAAATGAGCTGACCAGCTCTGAGACCAACCCTGGGAGAAGAACAATCGTTCTGGGCTTTGGTGATCTATGCATTAATCCAGTCCAAGAAACTTCATGTGCCAGGAGTGTCACCCAGAGAAAACCAACTCTGCCATGTTCATGTTTCAAAGCTGACTAAAATTTCTCTCACATTTACCAATAAGCAAAACTCAGAAATAAAACTCATTAAATACTTATACTTTAAATGCCAAATAAAGAGTGCAAAATTGGTGCGAGTGAGCAAGTACACAAAAAGTCACAGGGCTGGGCCCTCAGACAGTTATCCATGAGCAGCACCCATGTTCAGAATAGTTTTAATCCTCACCAACATTTAAACATTAATAGAAAACTTGTGATTCATAATAGCCAGAAACTAAACAAAATGCAAATTTACATGGGGGATGTGAATGATGAACCACATCCACAGGGGATATTTCTGGCCAGGAAAGGACTAAACTGTTGTCACACTGTACACAAAGGCTACAGCAATGTGATTTTGTTCACACAATTTGTCCACAACAAAGTCTTCATGAACAAAAGGCAGAATAGCACGTCAGTGGCTAGGAGCTGAGTACAGGTTCTTTCTGGGTAATAGAAATGTTCTATCTTGTAGCAACAGTTATACAGTTCTATGAATGCGTGGTTTTTATTGTTTTGTTTTAATTTTTTAAATACTCCTGTTTAAAACTGTCAGAATGGCAAATTCCATCTCCATTTAAAGAGTAGGCACAGAAAACATCCCAACAGAGTATCTGGTACCTGTCCCAGTACGCCATGTCCTACTTTATGCTTCCTGGCAAAGCTCCTAGAAGTGACCCTGATCCCACCCATCAGAATTCTTTAGCTGGACTTCCAAGAATGGTCATTTGACAAAGAGACTGTGTTTCAGATTTGGGGGGAAATATCAAAGCCATTATTACCTGAGGGGCTACTGACCCTTGGGGCACCTCAGCACTTCCACATCTGCCTTAGAGCCTATACTCTGCTCTTCAAGAGTACAATCAACACAGGTTTCCTGCTCTCCAGGGAATGAGAACTCAGGTGACACTACCTGGCCCCAGTAAGTGGGCAGGCTCCATGAGGTCACTGTGGCCAGCAATATGCCAAAGGGCATTTGAGGCTGACAAATCTTTTGAACCAAATACAAGCACTTGCACGGAAGAGGCCAGTACCTGAATAGCCTGATGCCACTCCTGTCCTCTCCCCTTCCTGCCTGTTGCCCACGTCACAATGCAAAGGTCGTGTCGGGATTCATTCCCCCTGCAGGACTCCTATGCTTTCTGACACTCTCTTCTACAGGAACTGTGCTTCTTGTTGGCACCCACCTCTAAGATGCTCGCCTCACTGCTCTGACCTGACAGGCCCTCAGAAAAGTCTGGCTCACACAGTACTGCTGCCAGCTATCCCCATCCTGCCCAGGACAGGAACCATTTATTATCTGTGTGTCCCAGAGTCTTCACATGGCAGGACAAAGCCTTGCACTTGGTATATTTTAACAAACATCCTGAAAATCGAGCTGAGTACAAAAGAAGGCCAGTGTAAGGAAACAAGAACCACAAGCCACAAAATACACACATCACAGGCATGTACAACAGGACTCAGACCACCAGGTCAGAAGCACAAAGACTATATAAGGCCAAGCTCTCCACTAGTGATGAAGTAACATCATGTGGTGGGCTGGAAGAGATGGCATCGTGGTTAAGAGCACTGACTGCTCTTCCAGAGGACACAGGTTCAATTCCCAGCAACCACATGGCAGCTTACAACTGTCTGTAATTCCAGATCCAAGAGAAATGACACCCATGTACATAAAAAATAAGTAAAATTAAAAAAAAAAGAAACCTCATGTGTCAGAAATGTCACCCATAGTAAAACAATTCTGCCATGTTCATGTTTCAAATCTCACTAAAAATTCCTTTACCAATTAAATTGCCTTTACCAATAAGCAAAACTCAGAAACAAAATACATCCAACAGACTTACTAAAGCTTTAAATAACAAGAATAGCAGCAAATATGTTCTCTCTTCATTAGTAGTGATGTTTATTATATCTCAGCTCCAGCTCACTTTAGGTTGCTCTCTCTGCATATTTTATGACTACTTGAGCTTGAGCTAGGTACAACTCTAAGAACTGAAATATGTCCTAGAGTAGGGACAAGTCATTTCTGGTGCATGGATGAGATGGATGAGGCAGTAAGGAAGTCAGCTTTTCTTCTCCCAAAGCAGAAAACCAGTCAAAATAGGAAACTGTTCCTCTGTTCCCTGGGAGGATGAGCTCCTGCTCAGTGTCACACCAACCTTAACTTCCACAAGGAATGGGGGGAGGGGGTAGAAAGGGAGAAGCAAGTCTAGGAAACCAACAACAAGCTATTTACCAAATGATGGCCAGGGGTTGGAAATATTCACAGGAGCCGCTGTTCCACCCCAGGGGTTGGTCTGGTTAGCAGAGGTCCCTGGACCCCAGGGTTCAGTTTTCTGGGTAACAGGGCATGAGCTGGGGAGGGCATCCATTAAATCCAATAAAGTAGTCTGCTGTGAGTGGGAGCCCGGCTGTTAAGACAAACAGAAGGAATGGTTTCACTTGGTTAGTCATAGCAAATATCCACACAGTAAGCATAAATATTAGTTCTTACCTCAGCACAGGCCTTCTGGGCAGAAGTCCTGAAGGACTTGGAAATTGAGCTGAAGTTCCTGCTTCCCAGGGAAGCCAGGGATGTATTACATCAGAGTACTTATTGTTTGCCAGGTGCCCACAAATTTTAAGAGTCCTCAGGGCTCCCATACTCTCTCAGGATAATGTTGGCAATGGCCCAGACTGTGACTACCCATAGTCATCCCTCTTCACCCACCTTGGATTCCTGACTACCAGCACTCAGTATCCAGACCACCTGCCCCACCCCCGGGCTTCCCACCCCTCCAGTTCCCACATCATCCTTATGGCAATAAGGACCCAGTGGCATCATAGCTAGGGGAGCCACTAGAATCCTGGCCTGAGGGAAATCTCTCTGACTGAAGGGTAGTAAGTTTGTCAGAAGAGAGTCACATCACAACCTAGCAAAGTAGGGGGGCTAAAGACCTGTATAACCAGTGGCTTCTCTGGGCCAAGGAATGTCCCCAAGTGCCACTGGGAGTCAGACCTGCTGCTGCCATCCTCCTTTTACAGGTGGCATCATCAAGTGTCTTCCCTTGGTTGCTGTGTGTTTTTTACTGTGTTCTCACTGATGTTCACCATGACATGAGTTCAGTGTCGAGGCTGGCATCCTACTACATGCCCCACCCTCCAACCATGTGTCCCACCCTCACTGTATGTCCCAGGGGAATGTGAAACAACCACCCTAGAACAACTTCAAACATTTACCTTGCAGCAAGTTTTCACCTCTTTCTTTTTTGGAACTTTAACTGTGTCTCTCCGGCTTTCTTCCAGAGCCATTTGCAATCTGAGGTCATCACCCCGCCTGAGGCGTTCTTCCTGGAGTGGGACAATGGAGCCTGGGGCTGAGGGTAATGTTGACAGCAACACAGCAGGGCATGAGGCCACACTGGCCAGCAACAGGAAAGGCCCTGCATCATGTGGTATTTCAAGGGAGAATATAGTTCAGTTAAAAAAAATGGCTTTTTCCCAGAGGTTCCTCCTTCAGAGGCTGTCTGAGGTCATACCAGCAACACTCAGGAACCATCAAAATGGGGAAACAAAATACTTAATCTAAAATATTTTCTTGGGGCTGGAGAGATGGTTCAGTAATTAGGAGCACCTGCTCTTACAAAGGACCTAGAATCAATAAGCAGCACCCACATGGTGGCTCACAACCATCTGTAACTCCAGTTTCAAGGGATCCAACAGGCACGCATGTGGTACACATACATGCATGCAGGCAAACCACTCCACCACATAAAGTAAAAGCAGTGTCTCCTACAAAACACAAATCTGACCACCAGGAAAAAGATTAGAAAAGATGAAAATCATACATCATTCCAATCCCCAGAGTGGACAATCCCTGAACAACTGTCCAATTGTATGATTTCTAATAGAAACAATTCATCCTATTTATTTAAGGCAAAGTCACTTGGAAAAGACAGACCTGCCCTAACACCTATGTGATTAAAACACACTCTTGGGTTTTAGCTACAAAGGCTGAAGCCATCCACCCATCCCAGAAACTTGCAGTGAGACGTCCTGGACACCTTGATCCCCTGGAGCCATGCGCTTCCACATGGGCAGATTTAATTAATGGCTGCAGGTTCTCTACAGGGGTGGGGGGCAGAGGCCATGATCAAAACTGCCCCATTGTTGCTGTTACAGACATACCAACTATGCC